GGGGGGGGTGGGTATTCTTAAGATATTATAAGACCCCCCCCCTTACAATAGAATAGGTGTACAGTATAAAAAAAACAGTTTAACTAATTTTTAAAACTGTAATATGACCCTCCCCCCCGGGCCCCCCTCCATCTCCATCTCCTCCCATACTGTAAGTACTGACCTAACCCCTTAAGCCTGGTAGGCCCAGTAGGCCTGCTTTTATCGTAGGATGCCTGTCTAATTACAAATTATCTATTTAAAGATATGGTTAAAACTATAATGAAAACCTGTGTGGGGCCTATTTTATATACACACTGAAGAGATGTGAATAAGAAATGCTTGATATTAGTTTAGTTTTGATCTACTTTACGTATCTAATATTCTATCATAAAACGATGTGTTCAAAAATAAGATATTAATAACCGTTGGTGTAAGATAGCATCTATAAAAATGGTTTAATAAACCATGGATTAACAAAAGATGTTTTTGAATTTTTATTCTTTGCGGGCAACCCTGTAATTTACAGAAAAGCACGTTTCAATCAAGAATAAAAGTATTTATTTTCTTGGAAAAATTCCCTTAAGCAATCTGCGAAAAGAGAGGAAAAAATCCGCAAACCTGAAAAACTCATTCCGGTTGTGACTTAGCGGCTATACGCAAGGTATTAGATTTAATTACAATAGTTTGTTTAATTGCTAACATATATTCATCATTCATATTATAGTTTTAAGTTTTATAGATTAAATTAATTAAATGAAGTTAAATATGAGTTTTTCAAACCATTAAAACATTTAATACGTTTTAAGGAACTATGGCTTCTCGTTTACTGAATTCTCTACAAACTAGTCGGCGCGCTAGCATTCTTCTTCAGGGACAGGCGCTGAGGACTGGAACAGTATGCAACAAGGCAAGTTTATGATCTGACATATAAATATATCGTTGAGGATACGTCTAATTAAGTTGTTTGTATTTAATAAGAATAATATTTTTAATCTATCAATGTTTAATTTTTAGTATAATTGGATCGATATGTTTTAAAGTTTGCACTTTAAATTCCTCTTATTTTCATCTATTTTAAGTGCCCAGGATTAATTTACAATAAAATTTATTCTAAAACTCGAGTTTTCTTTCAGTAAAAATTCTCTAGCTTTTAAATATAGCATTTAGAGTCGCCATTTTGCATCGTTCTATGCAATCAAATATTTTCGTGGATTTTTCTGTTTATATTGGTGTATATTCAAAAATAATAAAGTTTCAACATTTTGGTTCAGCCGTTTTGGATATAAACAGACATGTCAACAAAGTAAGTACATATAGAATATAGAAAGATATAAAAAATGTAAAAATTTTAAACATGGTTTGATGTAGTCCAATTTGAATTTACTTCTAAAAAATATATAAACTTTATTTCTTTAGAGTACTGTAAGAGCTGTGCCGCAAGCACTTCAGATCCCAGATCGTCTTCGTCATTTACCTGAAGCAGAAGATCCGGGCTTCTTCGAAATGGTTGAGTACTTCTTCCATAAAAGCTGTGTTCTCATCCAAGATCGTCTTGTGGACGTGGACATGAAGGGACTTAAGTTATCCAGGTAAATTTTTTTCTGCCAAGTGTTTTACTTTATTTGTCAAATAAAGATTAAATTGTACTTAAAACAATGTATAAATGATTAAAAAAAACTCTGCACACATCTTTAGCATATAATCGAATTTTTCAATTGAAATTCAATAATGATTTTAGTTTAATGATTATTTATGAACAAATTTTGGACGCATCAATCCAAATTCCTTACATTTTTTCAGTGAGAATTGAATGAAAAAATTGTGTTTTGCTTAGGGAGGATAAGATTAGGAAGGCTCAGGGTATTCTTAAGATCATTGAACCTTGCAGCCATGTTCTAGAAGTAAACTTTCCTCTACTCCGAGATGATGGAACATATGAGATGATCAAAGGATTCAGATCCCAGCATTCTCAACACAGGTATAAATTTCATTTTTGTTGATTATTTCTCCATTCCGATTAACTATATAGTATGACAGAGCGTATATCTATTTAGGTCTCCATGCAAAGGGGGTATCAGATATTCCATGGATGTCTGCTCTGATGAAGTAAAAGCTCTGTCTGCCTTGATGACCTACAAGTGTGCCTGTGTCAATGTTCCCTTCGGAGGTGGTAAAGCAGGCGTTAAAATCAATCCCAAGCTGTACAGTGACAATGAACTAGAGAAAATCACAAGAAGATTTGCTTTAGAACTCACTAAGAAGGGATTTCTTGGTCCAGGGATTGATGTTCCTGCTCCTGATATGGGAACTGGAGAGAGAGAGATGGGTTGGATTGCAGATACCTACGGAAACACAGTTGGTCATGGAGACATTAACTCTTTTGCTTGCATCACTGGAAAACCTATCAATATGGGAGGCATTCATGGTAGAACTTCAGCAACTGGACGAGGTGTTTTCCATGGAATTGAAAACTTTATAAATGAACCAAAATACATGTCAATGATTGGACAATCTCAAGGTTGGGCTGGAAAAACATTCATTGTCCAAGGATTTGGTAATGTTGGTTTCCATACCTGTAGATACCTGACTAGAGCTGGAGCTAAATGTGTTGGGGTGGCAGAATGGGATGGATCTGTTTATAATAAGGAAGGTATAGATCCCTTGGATCTACAGAAGTATAAGGAAGAACATGGAACTATAGTTGGGTATCCTGGTGCTAAACCATACATGGGAGAGAATCTAATATTTGAGAAATGTGATATTCTTATTCCTGCTGCTATGGAGAAAGCTATTCATAAAGGAAATGCTGATAAAGTACAGGCCAAGATTATTGCTGAAGCTGCCAATGGTCCAATTACTCCTGCTGCAGACAAAATACTTCAAGATAAAAAGGTTTTAATCATCCCTGACCTGTATGTCAATGCTGGTGGTGTGACTGTGTCCTACTTTGAGTGGCTGAAAAACTTGAATCATGTATCGTATGGTCGTCTCACATTTAAATATGAGAGAGAGTCTAATTATCAACTTTTGAAATCGGTTCAGGATTCACTACAGAATAGTTTTGGAGCCAAAGAAGGTATTTCAATTAAACCCAACCTGGAATTCTTATCACGAATGTCTGGAGCATCTGAGAAGGATATTGTGCACTCTGGATTGGATCAGGCAATGGGGAAAACTGCAGTTAGTATTATGAAGACAGCCGAGGATTTAAATCTAGGATTAGATCTGAGGTAAACATATATTTTTTAATTAGGTTTATTTTTCTATATCAGCCCTTTATCTTATTAATATTTCCAGGACTGCTGCTTATATCAACTCAATTACGAAGATATTTTCAACCTATCGAGCTGCTGGACTCACCCTGTAGGTGGGACAGGAACTCTATATCACATTATATTTAAAGAATAATTATGACTGATTAAAAATATTTCTATTTCTGCCAACTCCAAAAATCTGGTAAATAAAAAAACAATTTACTCAGTCCTCACTTTCTGTTTCAAATAGCGTTTATCAATTTAAGATCTTGTATTGATAAATAGATAGTTAGATAGTTTTTTTTGATGGGGGAGGGGGGGAAGGAAGAGAAGGCAGAAGATAGGAAACCGTTGCAGTTGCATGACTATTTTCATTAAACGGGTGTTTCGTCATTGGTCAAGCCCATTCTAAATTATGGCATAATGGCATTTTTTAAAATCTCGTTAAATAAATACATCGCATTCAAGTTGTTAATCGAGAATACTCACAATATCTCTTCTTCAGTATTAATATTATTATACAAATTAGAATGTTTTTAAAATGATTATAGAATCTAATGCACTGATATACAGATTAGAAAATTAGAATTTATGACAAAGACTCCTTTGCTTTTATCCATAATATGTGGTTTCACTTTTTTACCCATCCTACACTAACACTTCTACTTTATATTTTTGGTGGCCGATATAAAAAGATGTTTTGTAATAGAAATATTCTTTAATGGTAACAAAATATTTTTTTCATCCCGAAAAATCTTTTTTTGATATTTATATAGAGCTTTTCAAGATATGGCGGTAAAGTATTAAGAATTGACGTTTGTAAAGAAAACCTAGAAATCTTTCCTTTTATCAGTTGACATTGTTGGAACAATCCCAGCTTATTTATAATAACATAAATTGGAAACCAAGAAGGGAACAGGAACAAATAGATTTTACATTTTCATAAAGGTTTAGAGAGGAAACCATTCAGAGGAAGAAAATAGTTACAACACATAAAATATGTTCATTCTTTCAATGGTAGAGGAAAGGAGGAAAGTAAGAAATAAATTTCGCATTTTTTGCTTAATTCATTTTCGCGAAAAAATGCGAAATTTTGTAAAAAAGATTGCAAAATACGAACTAAAATTTTTTGCGTAAGTTTTCGCTCGCTGGAATCCTTAGATTTGCAAGCTCTCACGCAAAAATCGATGAGAAGTCGCCCTTTTCTTCAAAGTTGTAACATGTGCATGAAATGAAATAAAATATGATAAATTTTCAAGAAAGGGTCGGCTTTAAAACGCCCCCTCCTAGAAAAAGGCCTTAGATAATAGGCATAGGGTTGAAATACATGTTCATAGCCCAATTTTTCAAGGCAAGCTTATAGAAAAAAAAAATAATTTTTGTTTTAAACAAATATCAAAAATTAAAAATAAAGTTTTTAGATCTGTAGCTTTAGTGACAAAAGTTATGGACTATTTTTGATTTTTTTCACAGAGCGGATTTTTTTTCTGCCCTACTCTATAAATTAAAAATATATTTTAAAAAAAAAAATCCATTAAATTACTATTTATTAAAAGTCAAATAATTTCACGGTGATAGTGTAAAAAATGAGAGTGCTAGGACAAAAAAAAACTACAGAGGGGGGGAGGCGCCAAACTCTCTCCCCCCCAGACTGTTTAGGGTTAAATAGAATTTGCCAATTCTTCAATTTTTCAAATATTTTTTCCATATTTTAATTCGCTGGATCAAGAGCGTTTAAAAAAGGAAAATTTTCTAATACCGATAATTAATATAATTACTTATGTGTCAAATATGTATTTTATGTGAAATTTGCAAGGGTTTATATTTTTACATCCTTCGTCATTTTTTTATTCGAATTCCAGTGTTCCCTGGATCCTAAAAACCAATTTAGAATTTTACCTTATATACATACCTTTGAAGCTTTACTCTGTAAAGTATATTTAGAATTTGCATTTAATTTAGTTTTCTCTTGCATTTTATTATATATCTTACAAAAAATGGAGAATGCAAAAAATGTGCATAGTATTAAACCTCTTTAGACTTTCAGGAAGTACAAGTGGTGCATTGGATGTTACTATGTGTTTGTGTGTCTCCTGTCTAGCTATGTGTTCATATCTCTAGTGTTTACGTGCCCGGCTAGGTGTTTCTCTGTCTATTTTTGTCTAAGAGTCCTGCAATGTCTATATATATATATTGTGTGTCTCGTAACTGTGTTTTTATATGTATGGTAAGTTGTCTATGTGTCTATGTTTTTAGTGTTCTATCTAGGTGTCTGTGTGGCCATTTGTTTATTTTTTCCATTTAGTTATCTAATGTGTTCATATGCTCATTTGTCCAGTTAGCTGTTTTCGTGTTTATGTGTTTAAGTGTCTTGCTAGTTGTTTAAATGTCTAGTGCCCTGTGTTTATGTGTCTATATATGTGTCTTTGGATCTATATAGTTTTTATGTGTTTATTAGCTCTGCTAAATTCCCATGTGTTTAGTGTCCTCATGTTCCTGCATCCAGCTATGTATCCAAGTGTCTATGTTTTATGTGTCTTGCTAGGTATCCAAGTGTCTATGTTTTATGTGTCTAGCTAGGTATCCAAGTGTCTATGTTTTATGTGTCTAGCTATGTATCCAAGTGTCTATGTTTTATGTGTCTAGCTATGTATCCAAGTGCATTTGTTTTATATGTCTTGCTAGGTATCCAAGTGTCTATGTTTTATGTGTCTTGCTAGGTATCCAAGTGTCTATGTTTTGTGTGTCTAGCTAGGTGTCTATAATTGGTTGTACTTTAATTATTTCTTTACTTAAATTGTCTGAGCTATTATGATATTCCTATATCAATCACACGTACTTTCCTACCCTTTCACCCTCAACGAAGCTTTCAGTGTGTTCTGCAGTAATTTGCAGTACACTGACCGAAGAGATAGTAGCGTTTAGTGGTGAGTTCTTTCATTTTAAATTATAATAAAGTTTAATAAATATTTCTTTATGCGCGCAAAACATTACTTTTTTAATGCATTTTCATATTAATATTAAATTAATGTTTTTTACATTTTACACTTAACATTAAAAATGAATTTTAACTGCAAAACTTGTAAAAGTACCAATTAGTAAGAATAGTTCGAAATGAAACTTTAAATAGTTTTGACATTTTTTAGATTTTTTCCTTTGAATTAATTTATGCACTTTTCCAAGGGAAAAAATATTTAATTGTTAATTGCAATATGGATTAATTAAATAAAGGTTCTTGTAAACTACAGAGTGTCCTAATAAATTTGAAATTGTATTTATCAAAGGGACAGTAAGCATAGTTTCAAGTGTTTAAAGGGACTGTAAGCGTAGTTTCAAGTGTTTAAAGGGACTGTAAGCGTAGTTTCAAGTGTTTAAAGAGACTGTAAGCGTAGTGTTTAAAGGGACTGTAAGCGTAGTTTCAAGTGTTTAAAGAGACTGTAAGCGTAGTTTCAAGTGTTTAAAGGGACTGTAAGCGTAGTTTCAAGTGACCTTTAATGCAAAAATATCAATGCCTCACTTACAACGGTATCTTTTAGACCTTAATATGATCCAAAATGTTAAAGATGGCGTTATTGACTCGAAAAGTGTTTATTTCTGTGAGTTTCTACATTTCTGCTTATGAACAAAAAATGCGGCATTCACATTCGCCAGAAACCGAAACTATTAAAATAACAGTTTAAAGAAACAAAAACATTTATTTCTGATCCATGCATGGATTAGACAAAGCTGTCAAGGGTACCGTTGTAAATCGGGCATTGTCATTTTTGCATTGAAGGTAACATAAAATTACGCTCACAGTCCCTTTCTGAAATATAATTTTAATTCCAAATTTGAAAGTCATAACAAAGTTACGCCTGTGAGTAAAAAGATAAAAGGTTTTTTTAGTCTGCAAAACTACATTTGTAATATTCCTGCAAAACGAACTATGAATGAGGACAATTGTATAACAATAAAACATTCAAACCAAATCTTAACTCTAGCAGAAAAATGATAAGGGATGCCTTCGGTTTTAGTTGTCAAAAAAAAAGTAAAAAGGGAAAAAGCAAATTAAGAAATTATGTGATTTAAAGTCGCAGCTTGCAGCTTTGATGAGGACAGAACTGTTAAATCTGCGTGTACTAGGTGTCACAATACTAAAGCAAAAATCAAAAACGCTCTTGAAATCGTTACTCAATTCTCACGTTTATTGGAACACTTTGTATAATTAAAGAAATTACATTTGAATGTTTTCTGGAAATATTTTTGGTCTTATTTTGTTTTGTCTGATATAGGCTGAAGGGATGATTTTGTTCTAAGAGTTGAGAGAGGAGAGTGTGATGCATTTCCTAATTCCGACTTTTCAAGGCCTGCTCATTAAAAACAATCAAAATTAATTTATGCAAGGAGTACCATGTTTCAAGTTTTTAACCAGAATTTTTAAAGGACAATTATTTATTACCCTCAGTCCAGTTTAAGTCACTTGTGTCCCCTACAGCGATAGATCTAGTTTTAAGAATGTGGCCATATTGTAAAATCCAGTTATATTCGTATACAAGTGCATATAATATATATATACATAGATATACTTGTATATCTATGTATATATATTATAATATAGATGTGTATATATGTATGTTGAGGACACGATGAATGCAAATCTAGTTTTAATTTAGCAAAATCAACCACTTTCAGATTCTTCTTGCACTATGATGTAATGGACACTGTATGTTTACGTACCAAAAGTGAAAGGTCTCATTTGTAATTTAAAAATTTGGCTTAAGGCAGAAATATTTTCTAATCAAAAAAGGATAATTCCTAACTTTAAAATCCATAAACAAAGAATTTAGAAATTACTTGTTAGTTAACTTACTTTTAATTCTTTAACAAGGCACTTTAAACTGCCTTAATAAGAAATCAAAAGTATAGAGAATGTCACTTTTAGACCTCGGAAAAAAAAAACAGTGTAAATAGGGATGCTTCACCATTTTAAGAAAGTATTTTTCTATCGCACATTTTCTAAAAGGAATTAATTCTTTCCCACAAATTTACATTTTATAATCCCTACATCTTTGCAACCTAATGTTGAAAATCTTTGATATTTCAAACTTAGATAATTTGATCTATCAGAAATCATATTTTAAAATATCTATGGTTTATGGCATTGAGTTTCAAAGATAGGGATTAGAAAGTTTGAGTTTGTGGCAAAGACT